GGACTCGATCCCAGGACCCCAGGATCATGACTTGAGCCGAAGGCAGACGCTTAACCATCTGAGCCACCCAGGCGCCCCTCCTTGCTCCTCTTGACCTTAAAAAGACAAGAGTTCTTGAAAACTGTTTCCCCAAAGCCAAAATTATCAAAACAGCCTTAGTTTTAAAAATGGGATTATATGGAGGCAAACTATTCTGTGTTTGGAAATATACTTGCACATGAGCAACTGGTTCCATCTTCAATTTTAATAGGACATTTTAGATATATTTATTCTGTTCAAAACTCAAAGGTACAAAAACCATCCTCTTCAAAAAAAGGAAAATTTATTTGAGTTTGCAGTTTGTTTTAGTTATCCAACATCTCCTTTGAAAGACATGAAAGGATTCAGCAGGTGTACTAACTCACCCTGGTAGTGTTGTCTGCTTAGTCTGTGCGTCTGATAAGCATAGACTCAATTAACTGTGTTTTCTTTTCCCCTTTCCTCTCTGCTTCCGTTTGTTCCATCTGCCGCTGCCAACGCTTTCTTCCAATCAGCAAATGGTTTGTTTTATGTTTCCTAATTTGTGATCGTGTGTGTGTGTGTGTGTGTGTGTGTGTGGTTTCCCACTACACTTACATCCATTTTGTAGCTTTTTCTTCTTCCTGCAGTGTAGCTCCTAACAGGATAAAGTCTTAGAAAATGAAACTTCCCTTCAGTGTTGGAAGGGGTCTCCTGCAGATAATCCCGAATCTGGTGATTGCTAGCTTTGTTTCAGAACTTGCCCTGGCAAGAGAATTAGGCCCAGTATTTCTTTAAAAAGTGAAATGTATCATTTTTAATATTGTAAAGTAGGATTTATTCAGTGGATATTTAGAGAAATTGGACCTTTTTGTTATATGTTGAAGAGGGTAAAAACATTTTGTTTTTAAAGTGCCCTTGGTTTGAAAGGAGACATTAGGACAAGAGTGTCTCCTCCTGATGGTCACCTCGTTGTCCCACTGCTCAGTGAATCTTGGCACAGGTGTTCCTTGTACGTGTGGTACCTGAGCACTGTCACTGTCTCCTCAGCTGAAAGGGAGCTGGAGCCTTCTCTTTGAAACACCTTCATTTTTGTCTGAAGATAATGTGTATTGACTGTTCCACTGGGACCACCAGTCAGTAGATGTTAAGCGGTGGTCGGAGGGGAATTTCCTGAACTTGTTCAAATCTACGGAGCATAAAAGTTCTGGATTTGTCCCGGAGTTTAATGGAACAGTTGACTGGTTTTGCTTTTTATAGAGTTTTGTGTATGTATGTGTGTATATATAAAGCATTTAAACGTGGGCTCAGTAATGGCCACTGTTGCCCCCCGCCCCCGTGAGGCACAGCACATTTTGTAGCCACAGTGTGAGAGTGTACTTTCATGGTGTTCTTGATGCCCCAGTGTACATTTAGACATTGTATACATTTGTTTCTTCTTTTTCCGGACAAATCAGATTGATTTCCTAAATTCAGTAATAGTGGACCTTCAGAGGAAGAATCAAGACCTCAAGATGAAGGTGGAGATGATGTCAGAAGCAGCCCTTAATGGGACTGGGGATGACCTAAACAGTTACGACAGGTATTTTATATTAAGCAATACTGATCAGAACCTTCGTTCCACCTAAATAAAGGTTTTTATTTATTTATTTATTTATTTATTTGAGAGAGAGAGAGAATGAGAGAGAGAAAGCACATGAGAGGGGGGAGGGTCAGAGGGAGAAGCAGACCCCCCGCCGAGCAGGGAGCCCGATGCGGGACTCGATCCCGGGACTCCAGGATCATGCATGACCTGAGCCGAAGGCAGTGGCTTAACCAACTGAGCCACCCAGGCGCCCTAAATAAAGGTTTTTAAAGTTAAGTTCTCCAGTGGATTGGGGAAAACAGTTGCCTTGGCCATAAATCGATTTCCATAAATCTGGCAAGAGAGTGATATAACCCTATAAATGGTTTGATGTGAAAAGTTAAAATGTGGACTGTAGAACGTCTACTTGAGGCTCCCAGACTTGGCCATAATTAATTCTGCTTATTTTTTGTTCTTTGAGAGTGATACTGTCTCTTGAACTTCATCTGGTAGATATGAGTTTCTGATTGTACATGTTAACATTTGTAGTGATGACCAGGAGAAACAGTCCAAGAAGAAACCTCGCCTCTTCTGTGACATATGTGACTGCTTTGACCTCCACGACACCGAGGACTGCCCCACCCAGGCGCAGGCGTCGGAGGACCCCCCCCACTCCACACACCATGGCAGTCGGAGCGAGGAGCGTCCATACTGTGAAATCTGTGAGGTGTTCGGGCACTGGGCCACCCACTGCAATGATGATGAGACGTTCTGATGGGACCCCCAGCCCTGCGCCGGGCTTCTCAGACACACTAACATGTAGGCGACGGAACACCAGCATCGTGTGTGCAGACTTCCGGAGAACTCATGTTATTTTTGACCCCCATCAACAAATCTAAGAAAATATTTTGAGCTTCAATAAATCACCCTTTTAGTCTCCCCTTAGAATTTAAAATAATAAATACTTAGTAGGTGAGTTTTCACCTCTGATTTGTCTTCTTGATTTTTAAAAGTTCTAACAAGACATTGCACCAGATGCCATTACATTTACTGCCCCGAGGGAAACCTCCTAGAACAATCCCTACCCTCACAATACCTTATTTAAGTAACTTTAAATTATGCTGTTACTTTTCATATTTGCACTAAAATTTTTCCAGGCTGCGTTTGTATATTTAGATGTTTGGGTTAAGCTTTGACACTGGAATGAGTTGGAAAAATGTGCCATTTTGCATTTTCATCTACTCATTTAAAGGATTTTATTCTTAAAGAAGTATCTGAGCTCTTTGCACTACCTGATGTCAGTAGTGCCTTTATTTCAGGCTTGATAATACTTGGGTGTGATTATAAAATCATGAAACAGGTAAAGCGGGGGAAGCCCCAAACTGCTGTGGGGACATTTTATAATCTATATGCTGCACCTACTCACTCTACGGTGGTGTTTTGTTCATTGGTTTTGCATAATTTCAGCTTCTATATATTATATGTATATATTTTTTAAAAATCTATATTTTGGGAAAAAAACACAATGTCTGTCTTTTCAGATTTTTACCTTTATGAAAAAGAAAACACATCAAGACATGATGGACTAGGCCAGAATATAACATCACGTGGCTTTGCAACTATTTTTTCTGTTTTCATTTTGTTTCTTTAGCAGATATAAATAACTGGGAGAATTTTCTCCAGATTTGTTTCTTTCTTCAGCAGATATCCCCAGCAGTCAATTAACTAGATAATAAGCCACTATAAAACACCTAAATTAACCAATCTACAACCTTTACAAGTTTTTTTACTGTATTTTTAGATGAATGTACGATGAGAAATTCAACATTAATAATTTTGGATTTTCTTATCACAAAAAATAAAATGAAGGACCTCAACCATCAGAAGTTTATCAACCAGTTTGAGTCTATTTATCTTCATTTGAATGTCTTCTAGAATATGTAAAAAGTAATAAATGTATCTTCCATGCTACATGTATAATAAGAACTTCTATAATTGTATATATGCCTTTGATGTATTTTTCCCCTCAAGATTATCAAATGTGTGTCTGACAAGTGAAAAACCTGTAATGAGTTGAAATTTTTGGTTATAAACATATTAAAATAGGAAGTGTTTCACAAACAAAATGTAAAGCAGTATTAAAATTTGAGCAAACAAGTGTTCTGTATCTACTTTAATAAATGGTTCTTTTTTGCCAGTGGTAGTAAACTGATATTATTCTCAGGTTTATTTGTCAGTGTTTTTCTTTAAATGAGCAAGCACTATATATCCAAACAGAAATTTCTACAGTCTTGTTGATAAACAGCTTTTTTTTTTTAGAAAAAGACTGAAAAGATTTAATAATCAACTCCCAAATTTTATGCTTATTTTTCCGATCTATCAGTTTCCTGACATAGTTAACATAAGCAGGTAAATCTTTTCAGTAAATTGAGCAGTTGAAGACTCAAGCAAAAACCCAAGTCAAGACTCAAATGTCTTGAGGAACTCTGGCAAGTTACATATATATCCCATGTTGCTCTTGGTTTCCTATCTCTTCTTTGCTTCAAACCCCCATGCAAGTTTCTTTTTTTGGGCAACCTGTGAATTTTCAGCGTCCTTTTTGGCTTTTACAAAGTTGTGGCAGGCAACCACCTTGGCAATTTTTACACCAAGCTCTCGAGTAGCTAGCTGGTTGCTGAGTTCCTCAACCTTCTCAATGTTCCACTCTTCCACAGCCTGGTCTATGCTCTTTTCAAGGCCTGACTTGTCAATTTTTTTCTTTTTAACAGGGGGGCCAAACCTATCATTGATTCCAAAATACTGAGTAAGCTCCTTCCACTGGGTTTCACTTGAGGTCTGTTCACTATGAGAATCTTCTTCATTTTTCAATTTACCTTTCCTGGAGCGTTTTCTTTTTTTCCCTCTGAATCCTGAAGTTGAGGTTTTCTGTTCAGAATGTTTTTTATGCAATTCTTGAAATTTATGCCACATATTTAAGGGAATTCCAGAGGGGCATTCTTCATATGGATTTACATTTGCCTCTACTCCAGGCTTTGGTCCATCAGCTGGGAAATCTGAGATCTCTGTTTCTGTAATGGCCCCATCTTCTTTATCTTCCTGTAAGTTAAATCCAGCGTTCTCTAATGGGGCTTCATCTTCAGAATTCAACTCAATATCACTTTCATTTAGGCCAGGAGGTAGCAGCCCACTCCACATCTTTTCTTTGGTCAGGAGCCGGCAGCCCAGCAGCCATCTTAAGACCCCACCTGATAAACAGCTTTTAAGAAATCAATGTATCCCCATCTCAAAGCATCCTATGACCCACTTAATGTAAAATAAATACTAAGGTTATTATCCATTGCTATATCACACTATATTACCTGACAAAAATACATATGGCAGCAGGTAGTACCAACTATCAATCCATGACGTTTTACAAAGAAACTCTGAAAGTTGCTGGGATGTTCAGCAAAATGACTACTGGACAAACCAAACATTTGTTTTATGAGCACAGACTCACCAACAGGTCGATATTTCCAAAGCAGAGTTATCAGTTGAACAAGCACATTACTTTAACCTAAATAATACCCTGACACTAGTCCTTGACTTCAGTACTAACCATAGGGGATTAAAAGACTCAAACTATAAACTTACTGTGGTAATCATTTTGCAATTTATACTTAGGTCAAATCATGTTGTATACCTGAAACTAAAACAATGTTACATGTCAGTTATATCCATAAAAACTAAAAAGAACACTAAGGTCTGCAATAGTCATAGGGCAACTACAGCGGTATAGTTTCCAAACACTGGGTCTCTATACAGGTTAAACACCTATGTTGATCATCTTCTAGCATCCTGATCCTGTCTGAGGAGGAGAGTTTATCATCCTGGTCTTGCTCATTTATACTCATGCATGCTTGGGATTTCACTAGCCTTGAGCCTTTCACCTCTTAACTGTAAGTTGTGGCCTCATTTAACAGTTCATGACAAGGCCTGATGAGCTCAACATGTATTCTCACAGATAGTGCTAAAATAATACACATTTTCAGCTGGGCAAAAAGCCTGCACATGTGACAAGAATCTGTGATACAGGTTGAGAACCACTGTGAAAACCGGGTTGAGAAATAGGGCGTGGAAGTCTGCATGAGTGGAAACAAGTTATTTTAAAATCTAAACGGTTTTGTTGAATCGTAGAATTGAGAGTACAAGTGTGTATATATGTATTATTGATTGATTGCTTTTCTGCATCCTCCCCAAATTCTGATCTTTGCTTACTCAGAACCTCATGGTAGTTGTTTAGTGAGCCCTTTCTTCATAATATAGAGTGTATATATAGAACTGAAAGGAGCCATCCACTCGAAGACCCAACATTTTCAAGCCTCTTTCACATCCCAAATAGTCAATTTCTACCTTCCAAGTATTGAAACGCACATATCCTCCTAAAACAATAGTTATTAAGCAATTAAGTTCCAGGCACCCTTCTGAGCTTTTAATATGAAACATGATGTAAATTCCATCTTTTTGATCCTCACAACTCACAAGGAAACAAACGATTTTTACTGATGCAGTGGGAACTGGATTCCACGTGGGACAGTATTTGTGTGAAATACCAGGCAGTGGCAGTTTACCAGGAAGAGCTAAAGAGACGTCACATGACAGATTCCCTCAGCCGCTGTCCTTTTTTGTAAAGTTTAGCCTACAAACTAAGAGAGCAAAGCGAAGGGCTTTCTGATTGCTACAAAAGATTTCCATTATAGCGGGTATGCTTGCTGCTAAGAAGAAAGAGTAGGGTCCAGTCCCCGTCTCTCAACTCAATTCTCCGCGCCCAACGACTCCTGGACTGATGGAGGGTCCGGATGGGGCCGGGGGTCTTGGGGGAATGGCGGAACCGACGGGGAAGAAGGAAACCGCGGAGGCTAGGGCCGGGAAAGACAGCAGACGTCGGCCCATTCCAGTTTCCGGGTTTGCGTGCTGTCAGCCGCCTCGGTCACGTGACCGAGCCGCCACGTGACCGCGCCCGTGGGCTTAGCCGGGAGAGGGGGCGGTGGGGCAAGATGGCGGCGCACCTGTCCTACGGGCGAGTGAACCTGAACGTGCTGCGCGAGGCGGTGCGTCGCGAGCTGCGCGAGTTCCTGGATAAGTGCGCGGGAAGCAAGGTGAGGGACGGGAGGCGGCGACAGTGCTCTCCAGCCGCCAGTCCGGCCTGGTCTAATCCGGTGCCTGACCGCCTGAGCTCCAGGTGTACGAGATCCCGAGGGGAACAGGTGGGACCAGTGAGGCGGGGAGAGGGACCTGACGATGGGTCCTGAGGCACACAGTCCACAGAGTCGGCGTGGCATAGCAATTGTTTTGTTGCAGCAGAGTAAGCCACTGTGGTATCGCAGTCCCTCGTGAACCACCTATGTCAGGTGCCCTTCAGATCCAGAGGGGCAGGTCTGGTGCCCCCTGAGAGCCGGACGCGTGGGGCGGGTCCGGCCCAAGGACGTAAATGGTCCATGCATTACAGCGATCATGCGTGTTGTTGCATATCGAACCATCGAAAGTCTCTGAAGCTCCAACATCTTACAATCTGCTGCTCACCCGGATTATGAAAGAAGTTTAGAGTTATTTGAGGTTTTAACGTGACCGTTCTGAGGATTGTTTCTCCCGTTAGACGTTTACCACCGCTCAGCTCACAACTGAGTGAGAAATTGTAGATCAGAGACTTGATAGGATTTCTTCTAAGCGGTGTCACCTTTCTCCTCTCCCCTTAGGATTTATCAGGCCCCCTTACGTAATTGGCAGTACAACTCCGAAAAGAAAACGAAAACTGGGGAATCTCAAGAATCAGTCGTAGAAAGAATAGAACCCCAGGAGATAGAGTGGGTACTAGCAGCCATGAGAGAAAAAAAAGCAGGCTAAGTCCTAGGTGCCCAGTTCAGGCTCAAGAAATGATACTGAAATCTGAATTAGATCATGGATTGGATCAATGTCAGTATCCTGGATGTAATATTGTACTCTGGTTTTGCAAAATGTTACCATTGGCGGAAACTGGGCAGAGCATCAAGGGCTCTCTGTATTATTTCTTACAAATAAATGTTAACCTACACTTATCTCAGTAAAAATTTCAGTTAAAAAAGAGAAGGGAGCACCTGGGTGGCTCAGTCAATTAAGCGTCAGACTCTCGATTTCTGCTCAGGTCATGATCTCAGGGTCATGGGATCGGGCTCCGTGTTGGGCTCCAAGTTGGGCTCCAAGTTGGGCTCCGCACTCAGCATGGCGTCTGCTTGAGATTCTCTCTCTCCTTCTCCCTCTGCCCCCCCTCGCTCCGTGCACTCACTCACACTCTCTCTCTTTCTCTCTCTCCCAAATAAATAAA